ACTAAGTACTAATTGACCAAAAAGCTCCTCAGTCCATAACACCTGTGAAACGGATATTTCTTCTTTGAAAATTGACATGATGAACTCTGACAGAAAATGTTACACCATTCATTATACCAGTACTGAATTCTTTTACACCAATCATCTCTAGAATGGTGTGTAAACAAGGGAAATGTAGAATGCCTGTTCTTCATACTGTAAAGACACATCTGGAACTATTTGAACTAACTAAAAGTAAAATAAGTGCCATGGCGGATTATGCCATACCTTTTCACATAAAATAACAACAACAACAAAGGAAATAGAAAACATACCACTTCTAGAAGGCCCTGACATTGAATTGGGTATTGAAATGCTATCAGTAATATATTTTTATATACCACGTTTCCTTCCATGCATCAGCCGTCTTTGGTACATATGTGTTGGATATTTGCCATATGAGTTGAAAACTCACCATATAGGGAAGATGTTGTTTAGAAGTGGTGTAAATCATTAAGGTAGATGATTCTTTTTTAAAATACATAATTTACTGACCTGATAACTTTTTCTCTTTCTTTCTTTTTGGGTTTATCATTTTGGTGTAAATCATTAAGGTAGATGATTCTTTTTTAAAATACATAATTTACTGATCTGATAACTTTTTTTCTTTCTTTCTTTTTGGGTTTATCATTTTGTGTCAATAAATGTCAGCTTTCCCCCACAGCAACTAAAAATAGAAATTACACACAAGAACAATATAATTTTCATAAATAGAAAACTGCATAAGAAATATTATAGCTTAATATTGGTTTTACTATATCCTCTAATTTGAAATGGAATGAAATACTTCTATGATTGAATCATGGCTCTTTTACTGTTTGCTATAGAAAGTTCAAGAATATATTTCAAAATGTGTTTTTTTTTAAATAATCCAAAACAAATGCAACAGAACTCAGCATAGTTAAAACACATTTTCTGAGTTTACTTGCATCTCTCTGCTCCAGAGGGTTTTTGTGTGTATATGTATGGCTTAGGCCTGGCTGGTTATTTCACCATCTATCTCAATTCTGGATTGACTGCAGTGAACAGCACAGAATGAGTTACATATGGTCCCACTTTGACAAAGTTTGTAGGACCTCTGGGTTGGAACTCCATTTCATCAGAGTGAAGCTAACCATCACAGAAATGTGGCCGATGTCAAAATCCTAAATACACATACTCATGCACATACATTCTGGTGAGAATGTGTATATTACTGTTAGAAGTGTGGTGTTTTGCTCTTCACTGGCTCAGTGGTTATTGCCCCTAAAATGATGACATTTCAGAAATTTAAAAAAAAAAGTTGTTCCTTTGCGTTTTATAGTAGTTATTGATGTCACTATGGTTAAGTTCTGGATAGGAATCATGTTACATAAGTGGACCAAGATAGGTATTCAAAAGGTATTCAGATTACAATTGCAAGTATATCAAAAATCTTTCTAAAACTGGGCAGAAGAAGACAAACGCAAATTTTATCTTAAAAGAGTGTGAAGAGGAAACCCACTGTCAGCTTGTTTATTATCCCCTTTTTTCTTAGCGTGGGCTGTTGAAGACAGAGTAGTAAAAAGTGGGTGTAGGGTATATTCTCAAGTTTAGATCTTGCTCAGGAATTACATCAAGGTGAGGCAGGGCCTGTGTCTACCAAGGCTCTGCCTTTCGGGGTGCTGAAGCTGTCCATTGTGACTTCCTCTCAAGGCTCTGCCTTTCGGGGTGCTGAAGCTGTCCATTGTGACTTCCTCCCAAGGCTCAGCCTTTCGGGGTGCTGAAGCTGTCCATTGTGACTTTCTCCCAAGGCTCAGCCTTTCGAGGTGCTGAAGCTGTCCATTGTGACTTCCTCGCAAGACTGCCTTTCGGGGTGCTGAAGCTGTCCATTGTGACTTCCTCCCAAGGCTCTGCCTTTCGGGGTGCTGAAGCTGTCCATTGTGACTTCCTCCCAAGGCTCTGCCTTTCGGGGTGCTGAAGCTGTCCATTGTGACTTCCTCCAAAGGCTCTGCCTTTCAGGGTGCTGAAGCTGTCCATTGTGACTTCCTCCCAAGGCTCAGCCTTTCGGGGTGCTGAAGCTGTCCATTGTGACTTTCTCCCAAGGCTCAGCCTTTCGGGGTGCTGAAGCTGTCCATTGTGACTTCCTCGCAAGGCTCTGCCTTTTGGGGTGCTGAAGCTGTCCCTTGTGACTTCCTCCCAAGTCTCAGCCTTTCAGGGTGCTGAAGCTGTCCATTGTGACTTCCTCCCAAGGCTCTGCCTTTCGGGGTGCTGAAGCTGTCCATTGTGACTTCCTCCAAAGGCTCTGCCTTTCAGGGTGCTGAAGCTGTCCATTGTGACTTCCTCCCAAGGCTCAGCCTTTCGGGGTGCTGAAGCTGTCCATTGTGACTTCCTCCAAAGGCTCAGCCTTTCGGGGTGCTGAAGCTGTCCATTGTGACTTCCTCCAAAGGCTCTGCCTTTCGGGGTGCTGAAGCTGTCCATTGTGACTTCCTCCAAAGGCTCTGCCTTTCGGGGTGCTGAAGCTGTCCATTGTGACTTCCTCCAAAGGCTCTGCCTTTCGGGGTGCTGAAGCTGTCTATTGTGACTTCCTCTCAAGGCTCAGCCTTTCGGGGTGCTGAAGCTGTCCATTGTGACTTCCTCCAAAGGCTCTGCCTTTCGGGGTGCTGAAGCTGTCCATTGTGACTTCCTCCAAAGGCTCTGCCTTTCGGGGTGCTGAAGCTGTCTATTGTGACTTCCTCTCAAGGCTCAGCCTTTCGGGGTGCTGAAGCTGTCCATTGTGACTTCCTCCCAAGGCTCAGCCTTTCGGGGTGCTGAAGCTGTCCCTTGTGACTTCCTCCCAAGGCTCAGCCTTTCGGGGTGCTGAAGCTGTCCATTGTGACTTCCTCCCAAGGCTCAGCCTTTCGGGGTGCTGAAGCTGTCTATTGTGATTTCCTCGCAAGGCTCTGCCTTTCGGGGCGCTGAAGCTGTCCATTGTGACTTCTCTCCCTCTTCAGGCTCCTCTCTCCCTGCTTTTTTGGTGCGTTCCCTCTTTCTCGTCTTCCCTTCCCTTGCTTGCTATGTTTATTTATTTATTTTCTGTTTTTCCCACTTCCCCTCCCCCCGCCCCCTTCCTTTCTCTGTGCAGCCACGTGCTTCAAATCTGTGGGTCTGGACTGCCTTCGCTAACAGCTCTGTGTGAGTGTTAGCAGAATGCAAACCAGATGGACCAGCAGTTCCCACTGTTATCTCCCAGCCGACTCTGGCAAGCCTGCCTTTATCCTTCCTTCCTTGGCAAGAGAGAAATATTTGCCTTTATTTAGGGAGACTTGCATTCGCTGCTGTGCCTCTTCCCTAAGCTGCAGCATAAGTGGAAGCTATTTATTCCCTTGTTGCTGAGGTTGGTTGAGGTGAGTAGACTGTGCAATGAATTTAACTATCAAAGAAATAGTTTTGAGCCTGCCTAACTTCTGCTTTTCTCGAGAATAAGTTATTCACTGGCACTGGTTGTAAAGTGCTCTGGAATAGCATATGAGGACAAGTTTTAATAATAAGATAAAGGTAGAGGTGATCTCCATGTGTTTCACCATCATTTCACTCGGAACACTTATCCAGCATAGGGATAGTCACTGTTATTCAGCCAGCAGTACAGACGAAGAAACGGAGACCCTGATACTTACTGTTCGCTGATTCATCTTTCAAGATGTTCCTTATTAGAATGGTGATGACTTTCATTCTTTCATTACACCTTCCCTTATGTGGTATCTGTGCTATTTCAGCTTTCAAATGTTACGTTCTATTGCATCCCAAGTCTTACGAAATTGCTTTGAATAAAGGTGAGGTCGATTTGGAATTGTCATAGTAATAATTTGAGCTTTTCATTTTAATAATTGACAAGTAATTTTGAGACTGTTTCACTATGGTGATCATAATGATGTTTTAAGAGACCCATTCTTATGAATAGTCTTATGTTGTTTTACTTTTCAGAAAGTCCAGTTGATAGATATCTGTGCCTCAGGCTGCAAGAGGCACCTCAGAAACATTTTTGGGGGTATGTGTGCATGGGTACACATATTTGGTAGAAAATTGCATCTTAAAAAAAAAAGCAAACACCCTTTTTTTTTAAACTGGAGATCTTTTTCTCTGAGTAGATTAGATTGAGAAGTTTGAAACTTCAAGAGAAAAATACACTTAGTATAAAAGTCCTGAAGTACTTTATTGGGTAGTCAGGGAATTTCTCTCTGTCACCTACTCATAAAAAAATATTAGGAGGGTCTTTAGTTCTTTTGAGTTCTCAGTTTTGTATTTTTCCATTCTTCCTCTGCCAGAGATTGTTAGTTGAAGTATTGGTTACATGTTTTTTAAATGGTGGATCATAAACTCATAAATTCTAAGTCAATAATAACTTCATTGTGTGACATTTATGTAGTGGTGATTTTTCAAACAGGGCAGAAAAAAAAAATGAAGTGAGAGGTTATGACCAGGAGACATAGCCTGCTTCATCTATTAGCCTGGAAAAGTAAGCATGGAAAAGGGATGACAGGTATTACCAAAAAAGTTACCGCAGAACATCAGCATCTAACAGGATCCCACCTGCATAACAGCCTCAGATTTGTGTACTTTCTGAGCTGCCTGAGGGCTTCATTACCGGCCCACTTCCTCATCTATTTTTTACATCTTGCTAATGTTGGCTTCAGCTTCAAGTGAAGTTGTGCTGTTGCATATAACACTACCAAAGGTAGCATCTGCCCAAGCCAGAAATAACAATAGGATGTAAAATTACCCAGTTAGAAATGAGGTCCTCCCATCTGTGCTACAGCTTCTTAAGAGGGGTTTGCATGATAAAGTCTTGATTTAAGCCTCAGTAGATAGACCTATTTGATTGATAGAAAATGCTAGGTTTCTTCTGTTACCTTGCTTGTAAAAAAAGATGAGCCCCACTTATAAAACTGAGATGTTAAAAAAGAAAAAGAAAACCCCAAGGTGCTTAAAGAGTCAAATAACATGATCGTGGTGGCGTCCTCCAGATCGTACTGAGAAGCACTCCACGATGCCAGACTCACCTGTGGATGTGAAGACCCCATCCAGGCTGACTCCTCCCACGATGCCACCTCCCCCAACAACTCAAGGGGCTCCCAGAACGAGTTCATTTACACCAACAACGTGTAAGTAGACGTTTCTGCGTTTTCTGTTTTCAAGCTCAAATTAATTTTGTTTTCTGCAAATAAAAGTCAAGGGACAAGAAGATCCAGCATAATGTCTTACGCATAAATGAAGATCCCATTTTAGCTTGCTCCTTTTGACTTGGAACATGTTAATAGGCTGCAATTATTTCCAGGTTCCTTCTGATCTTCTAATACCACTTTCTCCCATTATTTACAAATAATGTTAAAATCTACATTCTTAAGTTAAAAGGGGGATTGTTTTATGCAACCAAAGCATGCAGAAAGCTTTTTGAAATAAGGGGCATCGTTCTTGTGTTGAACCTGTCAGACATTTATTAAATGTTTATTCCATTTCAGCTTGGCTCAGGACTTGTGTTCTGAACCAGTGGAGTGTACTGCGTTTTGTGTCAGTCTAGGAAAGGACAGACTATTCTGACAGAATGCCAGCTTCCCTTTCATTCCTGTAGATTTTAGTAGGGATGGGGGATAGCTTTGTTTTCCTCGATCTGAAAGTCCTAGTCAGAACATCATCAAAGATTTGTGAAACTAATATTTACAGACCATGTGCCCTGAAATCTATATGTCAATGAAAAATAACTAATAAGCAAAAATAGATCTGTGGGGGCATAAGGGATCAGCAAAAGAGATATCCAGGCTATTTACGAACTATTGCCCTGCCATTTAAAAGACCTTTCCAGACATGTAAGGAGCAAGGGGCTGCAAGAGTGCCAAGTTGTAACCCCGTTACACTTGCATTTGGTTTCTTTTTACCCAGAGTCGCAGCGATATGTGTCTGCCTGCTGTGAGAGGGCCTAGTGAGATGTCATTTCTTGACAGGTAGCTCTGGTCCTCACTTAGGACAAGACCATTTTATTTTCTTGAAACTTTTAAGAATGATAAGGTACTTAAAACATCTTCAAACTATCATTGGAGGCCATTTATCCAAATTATACTTAAAAGATGGGTTTGATAAAGATCTAACATGATAAAGTCAGTAGTTTCTTTGGTGAGAAATGTGTCAATTTTTCTACCCTAGTTCTTATGGATTATTACCTTGACGTTCAAGTAAATTTTATCGAATGAATTCACCAAGTTACTGCCCATCCAGGCTATTAGTTGGATTGAGATGTCCCCTTTCGGTTTCTAGAAATAACTCTTTGATAATTACCATATCCATTTTGGCTTCTTACATAAAATTTGTGTTTTCCTTAAAGAAGTGGTTAAGAAATATGAGGGGGAGAAAATAGCCTTCTAATTGGGTGGTAGAAGGTTAAAACTTGAAAGTACTCTTTCTATAAACACAGCTGTCAGTTGTGTGTACAAAACATGATTAAAAATGTCCAGTGATAAATTTAGTCTCCACCAAATGTACACTTTCTCTCGGGGAGCCGTGTAGAAAGGAATAGTTCTGTTACATTGATGTAAGCCTGCGACAAAAAGCTGACATCCAAAATGCTGTTTGTTCTGTGCTTGAAGCGTTTCAGGTGGCTGGCATATGCGTGCTCGGGAGGCAGGGCTGGCCCTGCGCCCCAGCCAGCCCCCATTGATCACCAGCTTCTGTGCAGAGCATCTCCGTGCGGGGTGCGGGGTGCGGGGTCCACCCTGGAGGCACGGGGCCCCCGAGCCCCTGGCCACCCTGTGACGTCAGAGCATCTCACCAAACGCCCCGCAGCTTTGAAGTGACCCAGAGGCCACAGGTTGGAAGGGAGGGACACTTAGTTGTGCTTTTCTTGTTGCCGTTCTTTGTCCGTTTGCCTTCTTCTTTCTGACTTCGCGCCCTTCCACAGTAACCAATGGCACGAGCCATTCACCCACAGCCTTGAATGGCGCCCCGTCGCCGCCCAACGGCTTCAGCAACGGGCCCTCCTCTTCTTCCTCCTCGTCTCTGGCGAATCAACAGCTGCCCCCTGCCTGCGGCGCCAGGCAGCTCAGCAAGCTGAAACGGTTCCTCACTACCTTGCAGCAGTTTGGCAACGACATTTCGCCAGAGATAGGAGAGCGAGTCCGCACCCTCGTCCTAGGCCTGGTGGTAAGCCAGCCGAACGCGGCCCAACTTGGGGGAAGGGAGCGGGCGGGGGAGACTCCAGGCACAGGCTGCGCTCTCGCAGCCCTTTTGTTCCACACACACCTGGTCTTGCGTGCAAGCCTGCTAATTCTGTAGGAACAGGGGTTTCAGGTCTGCATTACGTATTGACCCCCAGCGTGATTTCTTTTACCGTTTGGCTGTGGTTATACAGTTTTATCGTTATCTTGGCCATAATTGTGTATGTGCATAAAATTTAATAGGCATATCCTCCTGGCATGGCTAAGGTACTTTGACAATGGCAAAATATTTTTGTTATGTTAGTGGTTTGCTTAATCTAATTGGGTGCCTATTTTAACTTCGTTGCTTTGGGGAATTTTTATTAGCAGCCTAAATGAACAAGAATTTATAACAAGTAACATGTTATTCTTTTATGTTTTCATTTTTAAGACTAATAACAGTAAATTTTGTGTGTGGGGGGGGAATGCACATAGCATAACATTTACCATTTAAACCATTTCTGAGTGTGCAGTTCATTGGCATTAAGTACATCCACATTGCTGCGTAACCATCACTACTATGCATTTCCAGAACTTTTTCATCACCCCAAACTGAAATTGTACATATAAAACAAGAATACTCTGATTTCTTCATCCCTTAACCCCTTGTAACCATTGTTTAAAAAAAATATTTTTTTTTTTTATTGCTATAGGTAGAATTACATGAACCATTAGTGCCAGAATAGAAGTGTTGATTTGGGCACATTATACTACAATGTGTCCATTGTCACCCTGGAAATTGAAACATTTCCTTTTTTTTTTTTCATTCTAAATCACTTTTACATGGCCTATGAATTTCTTTATAAATAAAGAATTTTCATTTAGGATGATGATTTCATTTATTTTATTACATAGACCTATCATGGGCAAAGCCATACCAGTGTGTTTTACGAAAGAAGTCCTAAAAGTCTGGATGAGAGTCTGGTGCAGTAGACTTGCTTCAGATCATGGTATCTCACATCTGACAGATTTTGCACTTCAGTTCTTAACCCTAACCTCCCTCTCCTTCACACTTAAAAACAAGAAGCTTTCGCGTGTTTGAGAATCCATCAGCAGCACCTTGTAGTCCTCTGTGACAGGAAGGCGATTCTCACAAGCGTGGCAGCATAGTGCACGCACTTCTGTCGGTCATTTACCTTTTCCTTTTTATTTATTCTTGAGTTTTGCACAAAGTCTTTTTGACACACAAGTAACTTATATCATAGAACCACAAAGTAAATCCCAAAACAGTAATTGTATTGTCGTGTTTGTTACTAGTAAAAAAAAAATGTCTTTTTGAAAACTGCTTTTTAAATCTGATAGGTTCTTTAACTGTGCTTTCTGTAACTTCCAATATATAAAAATTGGGTAGCTTTAAGTAGGTTTCTTCCCATGCATTAAGTGGAATGCTTTTGAGGGTAGTACTTAAGATATATATTTGTCTAAAAACTTTTTGGAGATAAGTTAGGGGGAAGACATTAATTAATAATGCTAGGCAGGCAGTGAACATTTGTCAAATGATGAATTAATAAAGAATGAATTTTGCTTTGAGCATTTGACTGCAGTGCAGGCTTTGACACATCATTTTATTTATATACATTTTACATGTGGGGAAACTGAGGTATAGAAGAAAACTATTCTAGGCCACCCAGTTGGTAGTGATTGACAGCCCTATGATTTGAACTCAGGTAGTAATCATAATGAGTCAGATGCTGTGGTTTAGATGGAGTTAAGAAAAGTGTTATAAGAACTGTTTAAACAAGCAAACACAACAGTCATGGGCTTTAGAAAATGGAGCCATGGAAACAAAATGAAAGATTAAAAAATGTATTCTCTGATCCTTATTGTTACAGATAGGAAGTTAAGTGTTTATTCATAGTTTCAAGAGAAGATGTTTCAAGTCTGGAGGTATAAAAACCTTAGAACTTGATGCCCCCATACTCTATCATAAAAGGAAAGGGAACTTGCCTTGAAAAGTAGGTGGAGCGCTATTCTAAAGTCCTTAGGTCACAAAAATACCTAATCTTGACAGGTGTGAGGATAACTGAACAATTGAAGAAGCTGAGACTGAAGTTTACAGTTGTGCTTCTGCATAGAGACTAACAAAAATGAACCCAAGTGTGGTTAATTCATTCAATAACTTTATAGTAGGTCGGTGGTCTATTAGATACTTTTATCAAGGAATATTACTCATTGTAGGATCCAAACCCTGAAGATTGAGGGGTTGTTTTTATGGCCTAGGTTAGGAGTGAGTTCAACTCATTATGTATAGTCTCTTTTGGGCTGAGCAATACACAGTGCCTCTAGGATAAAGGCAGTAGCTTTGATAACTGGGGAATTTTTTTCACCCTGTGAGACTTAGTAACTCAGACAAGGCTCAGACCTTTTCTTTGGCCTCATTAGTACAGCACACTACCCATCTTAGCTGCTCATCCTGAGCCAAGATGCTCTGGTAAGCAGAGAAAGGATACAAGATGGGAAGACAGGAGGAGAAGAGTATCTCCATCAGCAGGAACCGCCCATCTCATGTGGGATGAACTGAGAGATTCTAACACTTGCCTTTGGCCCTTAATTGAGCTGTTGTGCTTTTAAATACATCCAAATGTGTTTGTTTTCCATAAAGGTAATACGTTTCTTCATAATTGCAGAGACTTCTCTGACAATTAAGCTATGGTAAGGTGCCTGCCCATTGTTCTCAAAGTACCAAATGAAATCTGTTTCATTTTCAGGTGCAGTTCTTAGATGTAGGTGGTACAGTAACTGATAATATAGGATCTTTTTTTTTTTTTAATAGAGTCAAA